ATATTTATTTGAGCACCTATACTGTTTATATTACAAAATAATTTAAATATGCCAGGAAAACAGTTACCCACCATCCAGATTTCACAAATGTTGAAATTTTATTACATTCGTTTTATATTTTTTAGACTTTGGAAAAAATTCAGTGAATTTTGGCAAGTAGAGATAAGGAAGGAGGACATTCCAAGTAAAGAGAACAATTGGAATAAAATCACAAAAACAGAAAAGCAGAGTGTTTTCATATAATCTTTTTTTTGAGACAGTTTCCCTCTGTTGCCCAGCCTGGAGTGCGGTGGCATGATCTCAACTCACTGCCTCCCGGGTTCAAGTGATTCTTGTAACTCAGCCTCTGGAGTAGCTGGGACCATAGGTGTGCACCACCATGCCCAGGTGTGTTTTTGTTTTTGTTTTTGTTTTTGTTTTGTAGAGATGGGGTTTTACCATGGCTAGGCTGGTCTTGAACTTCTGGCCTGAAGTGGTCCACCTGCCTTTGCCTCCCAAAGTGCTAGGATTATAGGCGTGAGCCACTGTACCTGGCCTAAAACCATGGACATGTTCAAGTGGAAGAAAACAAAATGATATATTTTTAAATTTTCTCATGACTCACTCCAGGTAGTATGACTCTGGTGATTTTAATTTTCTTAATATTTTAAAAGATTTTTTAAAGATTTCTTTGCATTGATGAATTACTTTTATAATCAAGAAAAAGAAGTTCTTCCAATTAAGGCAAGATTTACCTTAATAGTTCCAAGGTCCATTGGATTTTTGACAATGTCATAGTAGTTATGGAGTCCCAAAGCATTAACATCAACAGGATTATAAAAGGGCCATGCATATGAAAAATGTTTCTTTGCAAGCATTTCTTTAAGAATCTCACTGCAGTGCCTTAATTGTTCAGTTACTTTAATGCTCTTCACATTATATTGTTGCTGAGAATCTGGCAAAACATTCTTCAGTGTATTTTCTTTTATAGGTGGCATTCTCAGTAATTTTTCTGTGAATGTTGGAGAAAATTCACTACTTGCTTTAACTACTGAAGTTATAGGAGTTGTTGTATCTGCTTTCCTCTTCACGCCTAAACACACCTTTCCTTTTGTAACCTAAAGCAGAAAAATTGAACCACAAAATATATATTTAAGGTGATATTCAGAGCAATAGTTCTTTACCAGTTAAAAGAAAAAAGGGAACGATTATCAGTACCAAGACTTTATATAATTTACACATATTGGTGTCAATCCATGTATTAAATATTGCTAAAGGTTAACTTCCTTTTGTAGGTAAACTAAACAGTTCTAATATTTTCTTCCCACATACCAAAGAATGTCTTGTGCAAACCTTAAGATGAATGAAAAGTAAAAAATCAAAGTCATGGTTATACCAAGAAAAGTTTCTGAATACCTGAGATTAGCAAGAACATACGATTTTTAAAATAAAAATATGTAGGTGAACAACTTTTGATATCAATACTATCAAGATACCCAAACGGCAAATATTCTACCTAAGAAATATCTAAAATTTGGCTAGCCTCTTAGGTCTCTATTCATAAAATGTACAGAGAGGTGAAAACGGTATGACTTCAGATTGCTAGATGCTAAATGAATTAAAAAAAAAAAAAGATTGCTAGATGCTGAAGACTAATTTTCCTATTAACTGAAAAAAAAAAAATCCGAAGTTAAAAAGCAACGATTTTAAAACCCAAAAAAACTTACTTGAGCTATGGTTTGTGAACTAGAGTTGAGTGAAGCTCCTTGTGTCATGTTCAAGGGAGAAATAGATGTCTTAGTAAATGCAGAAGGAATTGCTTGCTGCTTAAATATTTTTTCTGTTGCATTGGGTGATTTTTCTTTGGCAAAAGAAACAGCTATATTCTGTTGAGTGCCTGGAAAAAGATACACCACAGTTAAATACATGAATGAGTAAAGTATAAAACACCACTTTGTTAGCATTCTATTTCACTTCATTTAGTTCAGCTTTTTAGCAACATAAATGTTGGATACTTATTTCATTTTGAAATCTACACACAAAGGATTAGACAGGTTAGACCAATTTAGACATAATAATGGAGACTTCAAAATTTGTTATTAATGGTAGGTTTATCAGTTTTATTCAAAAAGGTGCCTGGCTTTAACCAAGACTAATAATAGAGCTGTGTGGTTAGCTTCAGTGAGCTATGAACATGAGCAAACATTTCAGATACTCTAGAGACCAACCATATAGTACTATGTGAGGTCTTCAGAATGCTCTGCACAAATATTCAAGGATTTCATAACTGTTCCATATAGTCCATCACAGAATAAAAGATGTGAATATGATTCTCTTATCAATACATTCTTCAGAAAATTCTGCCAAAGGAACAACTGTCACATTTTTCTGACCTGTCTGTTCTCACAGAATATTATGACTTAAGACATTTGGATCTTATCACTCTGAAATCTGTTATGTCAAAAGTTCAACCTTCCATCAAGGCAACTCCATTCTTCTAATTGTTCACGACAAAAACCTGGAAGTCATCTTTGACTCCACTGTCTCTCAAAGTCCATATCCAACCCACCAGCAAACCTTGTTAGCTCTATCTTCCCATCTAGACTGCAAACACTTCTCACAAGTGGCATTCACTCTGGCCCAAGGCATCATCAGCACACAACTCAATTACTGTAATAAAATCCAGGCAGGTCTTCCTTCTGCTTTTGTACTCTATAGTCTATCTTCAAAACAGCTATCAAAGTGATCTTCTAAAACTCAAATCAGTGACCTCCAATGGTTTGTAGTCTTGCTAAGTAAAAACCAAAGTGCTCATAGGATATGCACGACCTACTTGTCCTCTTCCGCGTACTTCTTCCCTCTTTCCAATGTCATTTCTTATTATTTCCCTCTATCCTTACCCCGCTCTAGCCTACTGGCCTTGCTCAAATTTGGTAAGCAGAAGCAGACTATTTGTTTTGCCTAAAAAAAGATATATTTATGCCTCATTCCCAAATTTCCTACAGGTATTCACTCAAATGTCACCTTCTCAACCACCCTATATAAAATAACATTTTCTCTCTACCCTATACCCACTCACCTACTGTCTAGCTCTTATTCGCTTTATTTTTTCCATGCCATCATCACATGTGATATACAACATATAGTCATTTCTGGCTCTTTAAGTCTTGCAAAACAAACTCAGGAACTAAGTAAATTTGAATGTATTTTAAGATAGGGGTGGTATTCCTCAATATCTGAGTCGTCATTACTCACTAAACCTTAGGAATCAAATACATTCAGATAATCTCTCATCCTTTGATATTCCAACTGTTGCTCTTTGAACTCATAGTGAGGAGTACTTAGAATTACTTAAGGTAATTCTTAATTACCTTAATCCTGCCTGTCTATCCCTCAAGAATAAAAAAATCTGTGAGCGTAAGAGAACTTTGTTTTGGTCACCCCTAAATCTCTTGTGCCTAATGCAGTATTTGGTATATGAGAAAAACACAGTAAATATTTACTGCATGCCTATTGTGTTGGGCAGCATTTTAGGTGCTAGGGCACAAAAATGAACAAGACAAACATAGTCTCTGCTCTTGTGAAGCTTACTGTCTAGTGTAACAAACAGACAAAAAATAAGTAATCAAGCTGAGTACAAGTGATGCTAAGTGTTAGGAAGGAAATATATAAAGGTCAATGACTAAATTAAGGTGGAGACCTATTATGGAGAGGGTAACCAAAGAAGGTCTCCCTCTCTAAGCTGACAACTAAGATGTCACTATAAAGGTAAGAAGTAGCCAGCCAGGTCAAGAGAACTATAGAATAGAAGTAAGCCCACATGACTAGTGTACATATGAAGAAATAAAGGCATTTTTTTTTTTTTTGAGATGGAGTTTCGCTCTTGCTACCCAGTCTGGAGTGCAATGGCGCAATCTCGGCTCACCGCAACCTCCGCCTCCTGGGTTCAGGCAATTCTCCTGCCTCAGCCTCCTGAGTAGCTGGGATTACAGGCACGCACCACCATGCCCAGCTAATGTTTTGTATTTTTAGTAGAGACGGGGTTTCACCGTGTTGACCAGGATGGTCTCGATCTCCTGACCTCGTGATCCACCCGCCTCAGCCTCCCAAAGTGCTGGGATTACAGGCTTGGGCCATCGCGCCCGGCTTTTTTTTTTTTTTTTAATGAATGACAGGTTCTTATGTTGCCCAGCCTGCCCTCGAATGCGTAGCCTTGCCTCCTCAAGCGCCAGGACAACTGGCATGAGCCACCGCGGCTCCCAGAAATAAAGGCATTTTAAGAAAGACATAGTAGTCTCCCAAGGCAAATACTGACAAAAGTCAAGTAAGAATAGAAAAACACAACTTAAATTTTGCAGCACGAAGACTATGAGTGACCTTGACTGACAAAAGGTTTTTGGGGGTGAATTAAAGCTAGAACCTGTGCTAAGGGGAGTATATGAGTACACAGGAAGAAAGCAAAAAACAAACAAGAACAACAAAAAGGAACAATAGCTGGAAGAATACAGAAAAAAGAGTATTTTAAAGAAGAGATTCTACAGCAAGTTTATAGGGTAATGAGACCAATCCCATAGAGGAGGAGAGATTAATGATGCGAGAAAAAAGGAGGATAAGCGAAGGAATAAAATGGTTCAGAAGGCAAGATCCGTTCACAAATGAAGGCATGATGGAGGAGGAAAGGGTCTGTTATAGGCATTTGCTCTAGCTGATTCCTCTGCCTGGAATGTTCTTCTTTCAAATCTTCACTTCTCAACAAGGCCTCCACTGAATCTGTCATGTTTGTCTCTCTCTTCCAACTAGAATATAAATTCCAAGATGGCAAAGTTTTTGTTTTATTCACTGATACACCTCAAGAGCACCAGTGTTGTGGTACATAATCAGCACTTGAGTATTTGCTCAATCATATCAATTTAATACTGAGTTTTCTTTGCCGTAAACTATCAACATGTAAGTAATCACATTTATTTATTTAATTATTTTAAAAAGTAGTTAGCATTTTATGAACCTCCCACCATGTGGCTTCAAGTCACCAAGACACAGGCCCACTGCCTCCCACCAACACCCTTAATCTTCTCCTCAGTTCTTCTGCTGAAGAATTTAGCCTTCACAATGACAGGCTGTTTGGGGAGCTTTCCCTTTCCCAGAACTTTGTAGTAGCCCAATCGCACCACATTAATGATGGGAGTAGCCCCAGTCTTGTTTTTAGCAGCATTCACCTGTGTCTGCCCACTGACCAAAGTCCACAATTTGTCAAGGTTGACAGTTGGGCAGGAGCTCTGGTTCCTCTTTTTTTTTTTTTTTTTTTTTTTTGAGACGGAGTTTCGCTCTTGTTACCCAGGCTAGAGTGCAATGATGCAATCTCGGCCTGATGTAACCCCTACCTCCTGGGTTCCAGCAATTCTCCTGCCTCAGCCTGCCAAGTAGCTGGGACCACAGGTGCACCCCACCATGCCCAGCTAATTTTTTTTTTCCCCACCTAAGGTCAGAGATGTTGGACATCAATTTTTTGCATTTTTAAGAGAGACGAGGTTTCTCGCTGCAACCTCCAACTCCTGTGTTCTAGTGATTCTCATTCCTCAGCCTCCTGAGTAGCTGGGATTACAGTTGCCTGCCACCACACCCAACTAATTTGTATTTTTAGTAGAGGCGAGTTTCACCATTTTGGCCACGCTGGTCTCCAACTCCTGACCTCGGGTGATCCACCCCGCTTTGGCCTCCCAAAGTGCTGGGATTACAGGCGTGAGCCACTGGGAGCAACTGTTCCTGGTGCTCTGGTTCCCCTTTAAGCGGTAACGCCTCATTCCAACTTTCCTAAAGTAAACTGGGTGGTATTTGTCGAAGTTGATCCTTTGGTGATGCATACTACTGCATTACTGCAGCCTCCGGGGTGCTACCCGGGCTTGCTGATGCAGCCATGGCCATGGCTTACGTGGTCCCAAAGTTTCTGGGTCTTCCTCAGTCTGGATGGCATATTGCTGGCCCAGACGAAAGAGGGTAACCACATTATTTTAAACTAGCTATCATCATATGACAATTTCCCTACCACTGTGACTAACAAAGTCATGCCTCTGGTATGCTAACAAAGACATGACTCTGGAATGCTTCTGTCAAAAGTTTTTAAAACTTAGACATTCACTCCGAAGCCAAATCCTGCCTATCCTTTGAGGTCAAATGTAAGTTATATCCCCTCTAAAGCCTCTCCCAACTTGTCCAGCATGATATGGTTTGTCCTCTCCAAATCTCATGTTGAAATGTGATCTCCAATGTTGGTGGTGGGGTGTGGTGTGGGAGGTGTTTGGGTAATGAGGGTGGAGCCCTCATGAATCTCTTGGTGCTGTCCTCGAAGTAATGAGAGAGTTCTCTGAGTTCACACAAGATCTGGTTGCTTAGAAGAGCACCTCCTCCCTACCCCACCTCGCCGTGTGATACGACAGCTCCCCCTTTGCCTTTGACCATGATTGAAAGTTTCCCGAGGCCTAACCAGAAGCCCAGGAGATGGTGGTGCCATACTTATATAGCCTGCAAAACCATAAGCCAAATAAACCTCTTTTTGTAAATTACCCAGCCTGACTTTTTTTTTTTTTTTGAGACAGAGCTTCACACTGTCACCCAGACTAGATTGCAGTGATGTGATTATGGCTCACTGCACTTTCAACCTCCTGGGCTCAAGCAAGCCTCCCACCTCAGGCTCTTGAGGAGCTGGGACTACAGGTGCATTCACGACATCTGGCAAATTTTTTTTTTTTTTTTGAGACGGAGTTTCGCTCTTGTTACCCAGGCTGGAATGCAATGGCGCGATCTTGGCTCACCGCAACCTCCGCCTCCTGGGTTCAGGCAATTCTCCTGCCTCAGCCTCCTGAGTAGCTGGGATTACAGGCACGCACCACCACGCCCAGCTAGTTTTTTGTATTTTTAGTAGAGACGGGGTTTCACCATGTTGACCAGGATGGTCTTGATCTCTCGACCTCGTGATCCACCCGCCTCGGCCTCCCAAAGTGCTGGGATTACAGGCTTGAGCCACCGCGCCCGGCAACATCTGGCAAATTTTTAAATTGTTCTGTAGAGACAGGATCCTCCTATGTTGCTCAGGTTGGTCTTGAACTCCTCGGCTCATGTAATCCTCCCATTTTGGCTTCCCAATGTGCTGGCATTACAGGCATGAGCCACCATGCCCAACCAGGTATTTCTTTGCAGCAATGCAAAATGGACTAGCACACATCACATATCAGTTTCTCACTCTTGGCCACACATGGTGGCTCATGCCTGTAATTCTAGCACTTTGGGAGGCCAAGGCATGAGGAGCATTTGAAGTCAGGAGTTCAAGGCCAGCCTGGGCAACAAAATGAGACCCCCATCTCTATAAGAAACAAAAAAAAAATAGCAAAACTCCGTCTCAAAAAAAAAAAAAAAAAAAAAAAAGAAACAAAAAAATTAGCTGCGTGTGGTGCCACATGTCTTTAATATTGGCTACTTGGGAGGCTAACGTACGAGGACTGTTTAAGCCCAGGAGTTTGAGGCTGCAGTAAACTGTGATCATGCCACTGCACTCCAGCCAGGGTGACAGAACGACTCTGTCTTGAAACAAAACAAAATTTCTAATTCTCTTTTGAAACACAGCATACATTACTCGTAATTTCATCTGACATGTATCATAATGCACTGTCACAATTTTTTTCCATAATGCATTGTCTTATAAATTTTTTCAAGCTTTCTTTCTAAAAAATTAAATGTAGACCAGGCTCAGTGGCTCATGCCTGTAATCACAGCACTTTGGGAGGCCAAGGCAGGTGAATCACCTGGGATCATGAGTTCAAGACCAGCCTGGCCAACATGGTGAAACCCCATCTCCAAAAAAAAAAAAAAAAAATTAGCCATGGGTGGTGGCACGTGCCTGTAATCCCAGCTAGTCAGGGGGCTTGAGGTAGAAGAATCACTTGAATGTGGGATGCGGAGGTTGCAGTGAGCCGAGATCGTGCCACTGCATTCCAGCCTGGGCAACAAGAGTAAAACTCCGCCTCAGAAAAACAACCAACCAACCAAGAAAACCTTAAATTTAGCTCAAGGGTTAGAGTGGTTATATTTCTTTGGAGCTCCACAAAATGTGCCTTATATGTGACAATTATCTAAATACGTACTGATAGAAAAGCAAAGTCAACGAACTTCTGAGGGAAATATGCTCTTAGCATTTACCTAAGCATCTGAAACAAGTAGCTACAACTTAAATATCAAGAAACACTTGAAAGTTGTAGCTACTTCTTTCAGATGCTCAAGTAACTGCTAAGAACATGTTTCCCTTAAATAAAAGATCAATAAAAAGATATTTTAACCTTCTAGCAACATTAAATGGAAAAAAATTTTATCTTGCTAAGGATAATAATTTAATTGAGCTACAATTATCACATTGGTTTTACAATTTAAATACCATGCTGATCTATGTGTTATCTACCTCACAAGGGCTTATTTAAATCTTCCTGTAGAAGCCCAGGTCTCACATTGTCAGACATTAGATCAACCTTCCTAAAATAAGAATAAGGACTTAAATAATCAGTGAGTATCTCATAAAGAACTATAAGTCATGACCCACACTAAAGATCTATTAACAATAAAGAAGTATATATTACTATCAATAAAAACCTAAAAAATAAATAAACCTCTGCCATGAACTTATTATAAGCCTCTATATCTGAGGCACTTAACTATACACTTTATAAACACTTACAATCATGAAAGAGAATTATTTTCCTGATATTATAAATGAGGAAACTAACATGGAATGACTAAGAACTTAAAGATTATGCTGTTTAAGTGATCCAAAGATAAACCAACATTTACTATATTCTTAGTTAACCTCTACAATAAATCTATTTGAATACTTAAGATTTTTCAAATGTCATATTTAAATGATATGATTATTAGTTATAAAGATGAGTTCCTCTAAAGCTTTTTGTGACTGAGTGAAGAAAAAAAAAAAAAAGGCAATCTTCTAACCCAATGGTAAATTTCATTCTAAGCTATGGAATTTTTTTTTTTTTTTTTTTTTGAGACGGAATTTCACTCTTGTTACCCAGGCTGGAGTACAATGGCGCGATCTCGGCTCACCGCAACCTCCGCCTCCTGGGTTCAAGCAATTCTCCTGCCTCAGCCTCCTGAGTAGCTGGGATTACAGGCACGTGCCACCATGCCCAGCTAATTTTTTGTATTTTTAGTAGGGACGGGGTTTCACCATGTTGACCAGGATGGTCTCGATCTCTTGACCTCGTGATCCACCTGCCTCGGCCTCCCAAAGTGCTGGTATTACAGGCTTGAGCCACCGCACCCGGCCAGCTATGGAATTTTTTAATACAGAGAGCACTAGCAATTTGGGCATTCTTACCAGCACAGCACAGATACAAGATCCACTGACAACAGTAGTAATGGCTATGATTTCCTGGGTCCCTATTATGTGAATGGCATTACGCTACAGGAAAGCTGGCTCCAGGGTCATAATCAGTGCAGTCCTCCCTACCCTTGAATGGTACCATCCTTGTGATCGACGTTTAGCACATTGTTTTAAATGGACATTTTTTTATCAACAGAATAGGAGGTAGGACCTTCTGGATGTGTTTCCTTTGGAGGATTTACACACACACACACACACACACACACACACACACACACACACACACGGTGGGGGGTGGGGAGAGCCATAAAGTGTTTATCTCTTGCCTTACCTTTTTTGATTCTTTCTTTAACACCCACAACTTCCTCTTCTTGTGGCATCTGAGATAATTTCTGCATAAACAACTCCTCTAGAGCTTGTGCCATAAGAACAATGTCATCTCCAGGCTACAAAATATATTAAGTATACAATAAGGATATACAGTATGGTCACTGTACCAAATGTCTTAAATTCAGGCCACTTTATTGAAGGCAGTTAACATAGTACTCCTAGACAGTATTCATCTAGTGAGGCTACTCACATTGTATTTTCTTATTCTCTATGGTTGAAAGCAGCTCACATTTAAAATTCTTGCATTCTACTCCTTCAACTTCTAAAAAGTTACTCATGACTGTACCAAGTATCTCACGGCCTGAAGTAAATTCTGTTTAACTAATTAATAAAATCACACTGCAGCAGTGACTCAATTTTTAAATATTTTTTATAAGCCAACTCTACCAACGTATTCAATTTTTTTTTTTTTTTTTTTTTTTTTTTGAGACAGATTCTTGCTCTGTCGCCAGGCTGGAGTGCAGTGGCATGATCTTAGCTTACTGCAACCTCTGCCTCCTGGGTTCAAGCAATTCTTGTGCCTTAGCCTCCCTAGCAGCTGAGATTATAGGCACATGCCACCACACCCAGTTAATTTTTGTATTTTTAGTAGAAACAGGGTTTCACCATGTTGGTCAGGATGGTCTCAATCTCCTGACTTCATGATCCGCCCACCTTGGGTGGATCCCAAAGTGCTGGGATTACAGGTGTAAGCTACCACAGCCAGCCCAATTTTTAAATCTTAACTATTTGCTTACAAGTCTTCCTCTTGCTTTAATTTACAACTGAGGAAAAACTAAGTAATTTACAAAGCAACAGCCTAAAAAAGAAAACATTTATTTCTAAGTTACGTAGCTCAGGAAAATTACTAAACTTCATTTAAAAATACTGCATCTCGGCCGGGCGCGGTGGCTCAAGCCTGTAATCCCAGCACTTTGGGAGGCCGAGGCGGGTGGATCACGAGGTCGAGAGATCGAGACCATCCTGGTCAACAAGGTGAAACCCCGTCTCTACTAAAAATACAAAAAGTTAGCTGGGCATGGTGGTGTGTGCCTGTAATCCCAGCTACTTAGGAGGCTGAGGCAGGAGAATTGCCTGAGCCCAGGAGGCGGAGGTTGCGGTGAGCCGAGATCGCGCCATTGCACTCCAGCCTGGGTAACAAGAGCGAAACTCCGTCTCAAAAAAAAAAAAAAAAAAAAAATACTGCATCTCAAAGGACCCTT